GAAAGAGAAAGGAGGGGAGGGAGGGGGAAAGGAAAGGAAAGGAAAGGAAAGGAAAGGAAAGGAAAGGAAATTATGGCTTATGTTCTATGAACCCAGTTTATTCAAGAAACAAGCTGGAACAAACCATGGCAAACGTGGGCACATCTCTGAAGAAACATACATAGCAACCAAAGTGAACCCAAAGTCAAACTTAAAAGATTGTTGAAGAATGAAAAACACTACAGCTTATCAACTAAAGCCAAGCGCAAAATGATTTCTCAAACAGACGATGTATGTTACTAAAAGATTTAAAGGGATCTAAACCCCAACATTTACATACCTCTGAAGGAAAAAGAAAAAAAGATTTGTTTTGTTTTGTTATTTTTGCCTGAGATATCACATATATATTTGGCCAGCATAATTTTAGAAGAGGGGTTTCTTCATTCCTGTAAGCAAAGCTGGAGCATTTAATAGAGCTACAGTTTCTTTAAGACTGTGCAGTATAAATATCTCCTTTATGTTGGAAATTCCTGTCCCAAGAAATCTTATGCTTGGCCCCACGATAACTTTTAAACAGGGCTTCACAGCCCATTTATTTTTAGCAATGTTTTGTTACAGCATTGGGCTGATTTCGTGGGCTGAGATGTTTTATTAGGCTAGAATTTAAATCATTCTTCTAGATTATTTAAACAGGCATATGCTGGTCTGTTTTTAAAGCTGTAACCCACTCCTAACTTCCCAGAGGGTAGGTTCCTGTTAACTTGATGACTCATTGTTCTAAGTTGGGGTTTATTTAACCATGATTTGTTCACACAACATGCTAAGCTATAAGAACACAGCCAATTGTGGCTTATTCATTGAACTGTAGGTAAAGAAATTGAAGCTTTAGTGTAAAATGTGTACCAGGTCAAAACTTCTTAAACGGGTATATACAGAATTGCACTCCAAATGGCTTTTTTACAGTACGATTAGACACCCGTTCAATGTTCCCACCAAGGTTAGTGACTTGATTTTAGATGCCCTCAGTGGGGGTTGCCTTTAAAAGGGTACGTGAATTACATTGCACTGTGAGGCCATCATCCTAAATGTCTTTACAGGGAGTGTGTCCCGTGAAACTAAATGGGATTTACCAATGAGTAAATAGTTTTAAGATTGTGCTATAAACTTGGGGAAGTTATAGAAAGAAATAATTTGAGTTATAATGCTGACTCAGTTCCATATAATGTAATGATCCAGTGCCCGAGTCTTAAAAGATCAAAGGCTCCACAATTCATGATTGCGATAAACTTTCCACTTTTGCCAGATCAGTGGCTGGGTATATATAATGTTCGGGGCTCATGTTTGTCCTATTACAATTTAGAGGGATGACCTGGTTCACCCGACCTGCTAAGAAAATGGTTGCATTGTCACAGTACGCCGAATTGCAAGCTTTTAAACAAAGCTGGATAATTTATTTTAACAGAGCTTCAGTTTCTTTAAGGACTCGCAATATAGATATTGGATATTCCCTTCCCAAGGAATAGACACGTAGCCCCACAAATCTAGTGTTGTGCGAAGGCAGGCCCCAACTCCTAAGGAAGGATAAGATATATTTAATTATGAAATTAAGGATCCCTGTTTCACTGCTAGAAGAATCAGAAAGCAGGGAAGCCTTTGGCCGACCTCTCTCAAGCTCAGCATTTTCCTGATCGGGAGCCCAACGGGCATCCTTTCCCTCAGCCTCTGAGGAAGAGAAGGCACCAAAGTGGTCCCCCGCTTCTGCCGGTCTCCATGGAAACGGGAGGCAGGCGGCAGCATCCCTCGGGCCACGTGACTGGAAGATGCTCGCCGGCGGCTGCAGCCGCTTTGCCAAAAGGCCCGCCTCTCCTCCTCCTCCTCTTCTTCCCCCTCCCTTCCGAAGCCTCGCCGGGGGCGGGGCCAAACCCGGAAGAGGTAGAGCCAGACCCACATTTGGGAAAGAGACAAAAGGTGGGGGGGAAGAGTTTAAAGGGAGAAGGCAGAGGAGCAGCAGCAGCGCTGGAAGTCATTCAGGTGCTTTAATCTTCTCCCTAATGGAAACTCCCCATGCCCTATTTGCTTTTTTTCTGCCCTCCCCCCGGGTTGCAAGCCAGGAGGATGGGGCTTTCAACATGCCCCCCATTTTACTTAAGCGTTCTTTTCCCCCATATTTTCCTTCCCCACCTATGCCTCCCGGCTTCCCTCCAGCATCTCTCTGCATTTGCTAGCCTCTGTTTCTCTTCCAAACTGAGATGGGATGTAAACATTGGTTTGTTGGGGGGGAGCTTCCCTTCTCCCAAACAAGCTAAACCAAGATCTGGATACTGTATGTCGCTTGTCCTCTTTGTCTCCCCGTTTCTAATAACCAGGTCCCCCCACTTTCCTTTATAAAAAGGGACAATGCCTTCTTTATTCTCCTGTTCCCTCCCCCCCCTTGGTGTGTAAAACGGGGAACCTCTGTATGTGTAAATTTGCAGATTTCTGTCTCGTTTTGTATTAGTTCTGCATGGATTTGTTTTGATTATTTATTTATGTTTAATGTCCTAAAGAGTCCCTAGAATTTAGCTAGAAACTAAATCAGGCATTGCGGGGAAAGGGGATGTAATCCTCAATTTGTAAAGGCCTTTCTTGTACGGTAGCCAGAGCACGATGCGGGTGTAAAGAGAGTATTAGTAAATCAGAAGGTGTCCTTTTGGAGAACGGTGAAATTTTCTGGTTCGCAGTCTTCAAACACTGGCAGGTGTACAAAAGACTCGAGTAATTCTGTTGGGGGTTTGCGAACTCCGGAAGAGCCGGTGTGTCTCTGAATGTCGGCATGCCTGAATTTTGATTTGGGATTTTACTGGAGGTCTCTACTCCTCCTAGCAATTTAAGACGGTAACTTTGAAGCAAGAGCTGATTTTGAATTCGTTCCTGGCCCAAGGTTTGCATTCTCGCCTGCGAAAAGGAAATATTAAATCCTTTGTTTTGGTGGGGTATTTGTGCAGCTCCGATCCCCCGTTTCTGAATTCTGAATTAGGAGCTTTGCACTGCAATAACTCAAACGTAACTGTATTTATATGCTGTTCTCTTCTCCCCCCATTTACAGAAATCAAATTCTTTAAACAAAAAAACTGTTTCAAACTAGGCCTTGGCGTCGCTTAGATAAAGGAGGAGGCTTTGGGGACCCAATGCATTACTCGTGTCCTTTCATTTAGAAAACTGGTGCCTGCTTTTCAATATGCTGAGGTGGTTAAATGTTCTGCAAGGAGTTGCAAAAATGGTTGCCTCTAACCCAGTTCTTGACCAGCGCCATCAGAGTTACCCAAACAGAATTGGTAAAGAACTGGGTCAGAGGCTGAATTCTCAGGGGTTAGGATTTCTACATCCCACCCTTTGCTGTTTTACCCTCTTTTGTCTGAGAAATGTAGCACTCCATCCTGGTCAAAATCCATCCTGCAGGCAAAAGTTGAATGCAAGAAGGAGTCCGGATCTGCAAGAGCGGGTTCCTGCAATAACCCTGGATCTATTTTATCTTTTTCCGTCCCTAGGAACCTTCCAGGCCCCTGGGGAGCGGAGTCTAAAGAACAGCCTAATTTCTAAGAGGAAGGGGGGCCTAGGTTTGGTGCCCCCCCATCTAGCATGCTCTGGTGCCCTCGCTGATTCTAAGCTGCCTGTTTTTCTCATGAAGCCAAGCTGCCTTCGGAAACCCACAATTGCACAAATGGAGTGGCGTGCCATCCACAAGCCAGTCCTCTTTGCCCACGTTTTGTCTTCCAGCTAGAATTACCAGAATGCTGTAATTTTTTGTTTTCATTAGCTTCTTCATTGCACAAGGGACTCCTGTTATATTTCTCTGCTTTTTCCTGCTGCCAAAGCTGGGCACTTGTTTCTCCAAGGCGGGTGGATCCCGTAATGTATTGACTGCTTTCCCGGATCGCCGTGGGTTGCCTTCGCCAGACGGTGCCATGTCAGGAAGCCCCGGACCTTTCTTGGCGTGGGCGCAAGAAGTAGCCACCCTGCTTATGTTGAGGGTGCGCCGCACGGTCCTGCAGACGGCCATTCTACTCTGCGTGCTGTTACTACTGCTGTGGATCTCAATCTTCCTTTACGGCAGTTTCTATTATTCTTACATGCCTACGGTCAGCTACGTCAGTCCTGTGCACTACCAGTTCAGGTTAGTTTCGTTGATGGGGTCTGGATGGGTGATGGAATTCAGGGCCCCTTATCAACCAAAGTCATCCTTTGGGTTCTGTACTCACAGTTGTTTGGTGGTGGTTAACAGCAGAGCAGGGACTTTTCTGTGGTGGTCCTCCGACTTTGTAATTTGATGTTCACCCAGCATCGTCTCTACTGGCTGTTGTGTAAGCATCTGGCGAAGACAGATCTACTTTCCTGAATGTTTAAACTAAACACGCAGCTTAGTGGGAATTACTGGGCCACTAATCATGCACTTTTAAAAGCTGATAGCGATTTTATTGGGTATTCAGTCCAACCCTCTCTGAAAGCTGTAAAATTCCAGCTGTGAGGTCTCAGCTTGGAATTCTTCAGGAAAAATAGTCCACCATCTGAGCCTGCCTGCTCCATTTCAACATCTGGACGTTTTCCCTAAATCTGGTTAAAATCCTTTTTCTTGGCTATAGAACCAATTTGGTGTGGGAGCAATAGAAAACGTGCACTTCTTTCTGTCCTCAGGTTCTTTAGCAAGAGTGTATCCTAAATTATGCTGCAGAAAAACTGTGTTTATGTGAGGAGGGACTGTGTGTTTCTAGAGCCCAAAATAGATTCCCAACCATTGAATTATTTAAGTCTAATTTCTTTTGTACCAGGCTCGGTTAATTGGTAGGGTGATTCTTTGCCCAAAAAATGACACCCAAAGAAGTGGATCTATAAATCTCAGGTGTGCTGAACCATCATCTGAATCTGATTTGGGGAAATGTTTGACCTTTTTCAGGACAGGTTGTGGCCTCCCAGGGCCTGAACTCTGCTCCTTTCCTGTAGCCAACATTTCTTTCATCAAGGACAGCCGTGACCAGGTAACTGATTTTCTTTTAACTGCTCTGTTTTGAAATTAAATGGAACATGGTTGCAGGAAGAAGAAGCTGTGAAGCTTTTGTTCTTCCACAACTTCTGATGATTTGGATTCCTCGTTCCTTCCTTCTCTCCAACTTTTAAGGCAGGGGAAAGCAACTTGTTAAGGACTAGCTTGGTCGCCACGGGTGGTTAGAAACGGGATGCGGGCAACCAGATAGAAGTCTCTGGGCGCAAGCATGCCAGAGCAGGAAAGTCCGTTGCATTCGGCACAGAAACATCATCAGTGGCACGACATTCCTTTTAAACCGCTTCGAAATTGCGTAAGAAATAAGGTGAAATTCAGATCAGGCCTGGAATTCTTGGCGCACGGTTTTATCTACGAGGCGACGCCCATTCTGCGCAACCCGACAATTAAGTCGGCGTAGTTTATTGCCCCATGCAAGACCTGTTGAGCTGACTCAACCCACGTTGTGTTTGTCTCCTTGTTGCTTGAAAGGAAGGAACGCCGGCTTGTCCCCTGCAAGGGTCTCCTCACAGACTTCATCTGGGTTGTAGGCTTGGTCAACCCATATGGTAGAATGTGTAAGATGAAGTTCGGCCTCCAGTATTTCTCCCCGTTGGCCAGATTAGTTTGTCATTCATCACCATCTGATGATGAAGCCCCACCAACGAAGAAATGTTAAGAGTTTCACAGATAAAGAGGTTCTGTTCCCTCCACCAGGTTCTCATGTATGGCCAACCCTATCGAATTTCGCTTGAACTGGAATTGCCCGAGTCTCCCGTCAATCAGAATCTGGGCATGTTCATGGTTGTGATTTCCTGTTACACCAAAGGCGGTCGGGTCATTTCTTCGTCGGCTCGAGCTGTAAGTCTGGGATTTTGAATCTGCCCGTTTACTTGTCAGAAATGGGAGGTTCCCAGGTACCTTCAAAGGAGATTAGATTTTTGATGGACAGGATCAGCTTTTTAGATCGGCTCTTGCAAAAGGGTAGGGCTGAAGTGTGTTAGATAACTTCATCCCTTTATTAATTTCACGTTGATGGATGATGGCCAAACCTTACTTTGAAGTGCAACAAAAGGAGGTTGAAACTTTAGAACGTAACTCTTGCCCAGTATTTGTGGAGAACGCAGGTCCTGAAAATCTGGAACCCTATCGGGACCTCTTGGGAAAACAGCTGAGAGGCAAACTCTGGCCTATTTATTCTTCAATCTTGATTACTTTAATACATCGATGCCTCAATCTTCAGCCTGAAAGAGGGGGGAAAACAAAACGAAGTTGCTCATATTCGAGCTGGTCTCGCACGGGTGAACCAAACCTGATTCCCACCTTGCAGCAAACCACATTTTATTAACCACTGTGCTTACTATGTGGGTTTACTGAGTCAGAATGGAGATGGACCCAGCTCTTTGACCTGTCTAGGTTGGATGGTTTTGTCTGAGCAGGGAGTGAAACATTGCTCATTTTATAAAGGGCAGTAGCAAAGCGATTCATGGGTTGTTGACCTCTTACTGATGAATTTCCTTCCTTCCTGTAGGCCATGTTACACTATCGTTCAGGCCTGTTGCAGATGCTCGACACGCTCGCTTTTGCTGGCCTCTTCCTAACTGGGTTTACGGAACAGAAACAAACTGTGGAAGTTGAGCTGTTCTCAGATTACAAAGAAGATTCGGTAAGATATTCTTTGTCCCCTATGAAGCTTTGAATTCAGCTCCCTGAAGATTCCCCTACTTCCCTCCCTCTAAGGCAGATATCTAACTTTAAAGAAACTAACTATCTTTTAAAGAAGGCTTTGATTTTTCCCATCCTACGCCTCTGTGGAGTGGGGCAGGTAAAGAGAACTGGCTGAACAGAGATTTGATCCCAGATCTGAGTGACGTAAAGCCCACAGTCTGGCTTGGCGCTTCTTAATTTAGAGCTGTCCTAACATGTTGGATTTCATTTTGCCAATCTGGGCAGTGGGCGTTGAAATCCAGCCCTTCTGGAAGCGGATCAAGTTGGGGAACTTTGGTTTAATTGTGTTGCAATCGTGTAATGTAATTTTGGAAGCTGGGAAGAAACGTCTGGTCCTTGAGTTTCCACTAGAGGGGACTAAAATCCCTCTGAATGCCAGCATAGCTTCGACCCGTGTTTCTCAACCTGAACAACTTTAAAATATAAGGACTTCAAATCCCAGAATTCCCCAGCCAGCATGCTAGCTGGGGAATTCTGGGATTTGAAGTCCACATATCTTGAAGATTGAGAAACACTGGCTTAGACAATAAGACTTAAAAGGCTTCAGTTTCAAATCTCACCGTTCTCATGATCTCCGTGAGTGATCTCTGGGTAAGCTGTTTTCTTGAGCTCCAACAGATGCCAGATTTTTTATTCGTTCTCCTGTATAAAGGTACAGAAATGGAAATTTGGGGGTCAGATTTTCGTATGTTTCCTATTCTCCTTTCTAACATGTAGCTAAAACCTTGTAGGGGTGCTTGGCTGGAGCTTCTGAGTGCAATTTTTTTTTTTATTGCAGAGTTTTTTCTAAAGACGCTGCAGAGAAATAGAGCATTTATTACCCCAGGCCTTGGTGTAGGATTGGTGATAAGCCCCTATAAGATTTGGTTTTCTTTTGTATGGTTCTTCTCAAACATCTCTTGCTTTTTAAATGTTATTATTCTATTGTTTGTAGTGTAAAGCGCCCGGAGTCGTTGGGCGTTTTTTAAACCCACGCAAATAAAGAAATACAATGTTTGGGATCAGGAAAATGTTTCTCCTATCTTTTTGTAGGGCATGTGGTGGGAAAATAATCTGAGAATACAGCGTGCCAGGCAGGAATTGCACAGCCTTGACCTCCGTATTTTGTTTTTCGCTTTCTTTGTAGTACATCCCAACCACTGGGGCAGTTATTGAAATCCAAACCACTAGAATCCAGATTTATGGGGCGCAGCTGAGAATCCACGCGCATTTCACTGGATTGCGGTGAGGAGGGGAGTCATGCCGGGCGTTTGGGAAGGGAGCAAGCTCCGTTTTTCCCTACGCGAGGGGATAAACGTGGGAAGATTTTCTGGTTGGAATTGGGAGCGAGCTGTCCGGATCTGTTCTGGTTGCCAGGCAAACCCAACTGTTCTTAGCAGGGTTGGAACCACTTTCTAGAGATACTGTCAGGTTCAGCCCAAAGAACTGATGTCCAATGTCTCTTGGACATTGCAAATACAGTTCGGTTGCGTTTATTAGCTACAGCCTCCAGACACAAAATCTCCCCAGACTGGACCCTGGTTCCCAGCCCAGCCAGCCACAACTCCGTGAATTCCTTAGAAAGGTGCCAGCCTCATCTTCTTGAACTTCTCACACTCCTGCTGGGGGCTAAGGACACGCTTATCTCCCTGAGCCTGGCCTTCATAAGTCCATTCCATCACAGATACAAACTCCCGGCGTTGCGTTAGCTGTGAATTGCCTCAACGTCATCTG